ATACTATACATATTGTTCATTTTCTAATGATATCTTCTGTTCTTTAATGGCAATGTGCATTGCTAACAGCGGAGCTATTTCAGCCGATAGGCTGCTTGTTAAACCTTTTATCTTGATCAACATTTTTGAAAGAAATTTAATCAAATTACATATGGATTTAATTTTGCGAATGGCGACAGTTGCCTCTATCACTCGAAGTTAAGCAAATTTAAAATGCCACAGTCGTCACTCTGCGCATGTAAAAATAATGGTATCCCTAATTCATTGCAGTTCTTCTTCAAAAGATTTGAGCTTTGATACTAATGAAATTAAAATTGTAAAGGATGTGAGTTGAATGCCCGTTTCCATCAGCCTTTAAATTTTAAGTTTTATAACAATCTTCTTGCGATGGAACCCATCACCGAACATGCTTAGTGCAATGACTGTGACACTTTATATTCTACTAATTCAAGCAATAAGACAAACTCACTGGAATAACATATAGCTATTTTAACTACCGTAATTTTGTTTTAATGTGACACATCTAACCGGTAACAGTAATTGAAAATGAGATTACTTTCCAAGTACCGTAAAATCTGTATTAGAAGCCGCATCCCTAATAGAAGTCGCACCCATTCTTTTTGAATAATTGAGAACCAAAAATTCGTCATTTCTCATATGTGTAGATGCTCTAATAGAAGCCTCATCCCCTCTATTGCATTGTACCATTTTAATAGAAGCCGTGGTTTCTAATACAGATTTTACAGTATTGAAACCCTTATACAAGTGACGTGTATGTTACTCTTGATAAGTTCCATGCTCTGATCTAATTAGTATACAATACTGAGATCAAGAAATGTTCACAGCAATACTGCATGGTCTTTTGGGTTCAGATTAATCCAGCATTGACTATCACAAATCTCCAAAATGCATGTGATATCTATTTTGCAGCTGATATGCTGTAATCTACATTCCATCTTGAAATATCCCCTGCGGTGATGTGACAACGTGCGTTGTGTGATTTACATTCATAATTGAAGTCTAAATGCAGTGGAATTGGAAGAAATTAGAATTATTATAAAACAAGAGGCATCTTATGATATGCTTGACTATCATATGTACTCAACTATTAATTCCCCTAAGTCTGTTCACCATACCATGGTTCGATCGCCACAGCCTTGCTTCCCTAGTACACCACACCACATCAATTTTTAGTTAAAATTAATTATTTATTTGTCATCACCTGGGACTGGCCATTTACATACACGACTTGTCACAATCGCTTTAGTGGATTTGTGTCCATATGTCCATGTTGAAATTGCCAGCTTTACCATGTACTAGGGGTAAACCATTTGTTATTGAGGGGGTGGCAGTAACTTATTTCCTATCTTAAGCCATCATATTTATTTTTTTAATTTAATTAACTTTAAGATAAGGATGTTTTGGAAGGGAACTAAACATAAAAACTTTCTTTCTAGTTTGTTATTGATGCCTTTTGTCACTACATTTCAGGAGAAGTTGCTATTATCAGTGTTACCGGCCCATTTAGCAGTGGAAATGAGAAACGAAATGATACAAAGAATCCGTGATGATCCTCGTCAATATCACAGATTACATCGCAATAGTGTTTGTACAACACATTTCCATAATCTTTACGTAAAAAGACACATGAATGTAAGGTTAGTATGAGTAGCATTGTATCTCAGCGAAATGACACAAGATTAGTATGTTGGATAGTATCAGTCATCAAAATACAATGTTTCATCATGGTAGTCATATATATTACCATAAAATCTGTATTTGTATCCCGAATAGAAGTCGAACCCATTCATTTTGAACAATTGAGAACCAAAAATTCACCATTTCTCATATGTGTAGATGCTCTAATAGAAGCCGCATCCCCTGTGTTATGTACCATTTTAATAGAAGCCGCAGCTTCTAATACAGATTTTACAGTAATAATAATAATACCGGTAACTTTGTTACACAACTAAATCATCAGAAGATTTTAATAGTAAGGTAAAGAGAATAACAAGACATGTAAAAT